ATATATTCTAAACACATTGACCTTCGTAGGGGAAGAACGGTAATTTGTCGCAGTTGTTAGTACATTGCCAGCAACATGTGTGCCATAAATCTATATAGAAAAGCATTACAAAATGATCATACGTTCTTCCCATAAATTATGCATTCATAACGCAATTCGAATTATTATCATAAATCACCGGCCAATGCGTGAGCTTAAGGGGCAAACTAATGCAAAGAGGATAAAAACGAAAAAAAAACTAAATTGCACGCAAATAAATCGAATATAAATCATCAGTGGCTGAATACAACCATATGTTTTGGGACTTTGCAAGTGTGCCAAAAAAGGCAACAAAAGCGTGAACATAAAAAATGTACTTATTTCATTTATTTTTATTTAATATTATTTTATTTTATATTTTTCATTTTATTATTATTTAAGTGTTATTGTATTTTAAATTTTTTATTATATTTCATAATTATTATTTTTGTTTCATTTAAGGCAGTAGTCTGCTTCAAAAAATCCATTATTTTCTCAAATTTATTTTAAGATTATCCAAAAATATATTTTCAAAATTTCAGTGGCCAATTGGACATAACTTAGCAGCTAAAGCAGAATTAGTGGCTGTGACGAGCGTCGAGTTTTCGAATTCACATTTTTACGAGTCTTAGAAAACGGTGCGGTTGATAGCAAAAAGAATATATGATCGAAAAAGATCCAAGTGATCTAGCTACAGTATTAAATTTTAGTTCATATGGAAGAGACACTCATAAAAATTAAAAAAAAAAAAATTGGTTCGTCTATTTCCGATGCATTGCACGACCTCCATCACTGGCAGCGTTTCATGTGTTCAGACTGCAGCCGCTTCAAAAAAGTCATCGCAAAATTGGAATATTTCAATATTTTGCATACTAAAAGTTGTTTTTTGAAGCTTAAATATAGTACATTATTGTCTGAAGATTTCACTTACCGAAAAAACGCTTTGTTTTATGTTTCTTTTTATTTTATATTATTTTAGTTTGTCATTGAATCTAATTTTCTCTATTCTATTAATTAATTTTAATTATTTACTTATTTTATTTCATTTATATTAAATTAAATTTATTTTTATTGTGTTTAAATTATTTATTTAATTTTATTTTACATTTAGTGTAAACTTTTATTTCATTATATAATTTTATTTGAATCAACTTTTATAAATGTAATATTTAATTTGATTTAATTTAAATTTATTTTAACTTTAGTAAAAACTATTATTATTATTATTTTACTGTATTTAATTTAAATTAATTTAATTTTAGTAAAACTTGATTGATTATGTTTTATTTTCTTTCGTTCTATTTTCTTTTGTTTTATACTAATAATATTATATTTTTATTTTATTTTATCACTGATCTTTACTTCTTTTATCTTGTATAATTATATTTTGGGTATTTTATTTAATTATTTATTTTTATTTGAATAAATATTTGTAAAAGTTTATTTTACTTTAAATTGGTTTAACTTGATTTAAGGGAGAGTTTTATTTTAAATAATTTATTTTATAGTTATTAGTTTTTTTTAAACATTGTTTATTAAATATTGTTTAATTCATTACATCAATTTCTCTTATTAAATTTAAGTTTTTTAATAATATTAAATTCATTTTTTATTTTTTATAATATTTTTACCTTATTTTAGTTTTTATTATTTTATTTTGCCGCACATATTATGTTTTATATTATTTAAACTACTCTTGTTATTTTATTATATACCGTCATATGTTTGGTTATTTTTTAATTAAATTATTTCGTTTGACTTTAGTTTATGCTTTTTGATTTTTATTTATTTGTATTATATTTTGCTTATTTATTTTTTGACGCTATTTTATTTAATATTATTTATTTCATTTCATCTTTAGTGTTTATGTTATTATTTACTTTTAAATTATTTGGATTTAAATTGGTTATTAGTTTTATTTTAAATTTATGTTTTTCTTGTATTATTTTGTCAATTAAGATTAAATTATATCGTTTAAATTTATTTTTATTTTTTGTTTTGATTTATTTTTTTTTTTGTTTTAATGATATTTTATTTTATTTCTTTAATTAAATTCAATTTAAATTTATATTGTATTTACTTTACTTTATTTCTATTCATCCATTAGTATTTATGCAGATAAAAATAAAACAAAATTTTGTTTTTTTTAATTGTTTCTTGCTCTGAACATCTGCCGTAGAGCCATAAAAAGGTGATTTAAATGAGTAAGCATAGCGAATGCATAGAATTGAAAATAAATTACGTCATATCTGATTAGAATGTGAATAATAAAAAAACAAGCACACAAAGTAAAAGTTTTTTAAATATTTGAGCGGTAGCAAATAGCCAAAATAGAAAATTTCATTGAAAGAAAGGAATTATTTTGCAGAAAACTCATGATTTTTATTAGTGCCAATTTATATATATATATATATATTTTTTTTAATTTTTCCGTCTTAATATTCATGAAGTTTGCTTTTTGTTTTGAATTAAAAATACCGTTAGCATTATTTCGCATTTTCCCCACAATTTGAAATTCGTATATGCAAACTTTAGTACGTAGATACGCATACAAACACAGATAGGTATATAAACTTTGGCTATAATTCGCTTTTTCTTTACTGTGTATTTCGCATATTGTTTATATGAAAAATAAAAGAGGCGTGTCGTATAGAATTTCACTTTTTTGCTTTTGATTTCTTTTTTCTTAACACAAACACTTTTCTGCTTCAATGGTAATATTTCACTTTGTCTTCCTTTTCAAGAGAAAAAAAAAATAATAATAAAAGCTCTCTATGTACATTTCTATTTGCATAAATTCAGTATAAAAAAATAATTTTTCCTTATTTTTGTTGGAACTTTCTTGTTTCCGTCATTTTCGAAATTCATTAGGCGTTTAGAGTTCATTTAATGACGCTCTTTTTTCTTAATATATATAGGAATAAATATAAGGCAGGTCATTAGGAGCAATGAAACTAAAAACAAGTAGAAATTTTAGTATTTATTTTCGTACTCAGTCAAAGTCAAATCACATTTAACTGTTATCTAACACTGTCTTCCATGCAAACCATCAATTGCGCTGTCTCCATCAATCAATTTGCAGCTTTCTCTGACCTTTCATCAACCACTGCACATTAAAGAAATGAAAGACCGAGTCCGACGAAGGGAAGGTTAAAACAATAAACCCAAGAAATGCACATTATTCATATGCTCATTCAACACTTTTCGCATCCTGCAACCATGGCTAGGCAAAGTATGTCTGTAGACCACATACAATGCATTAAACGCAAAGTAAAAATAAAAAGGAAAAAATAGTAGAAACAAGTAGCTTTGTTTCATAGTAAAGTGCAAAACATTTTCATGGAAATTGGCGTAATTTCTCAACACTTTACATTGCAAAAACTTTTTTCTTTGTGTCGTCATAAAAAGTTTGCGCTTACTTCAAAGCGTTTAACCAGCTATTATGCATATTGTATTACATCATAACTTTGCAGCGGTGGTTTTCCTGTTTAAATTGCTCCACACAATTCTAAAGCGATTGCAATTTATTTATTTTATTTGTATTTCTTATTTAACTTTTTCTCTCACATACTTTTCGTTTTTCTTCAAAATTATAAACTATTGTCTGTATAGATGCACATGTGTATGCAAATTACAGCATTTTTATATTGACGCGAAATTCGCTTGTGGGCGTTGTTTTTATTAATGTATAGATTAAGTAAACATTTTTCTTGCTATTTTGCATACACAAGAGACTGGCACGCCTATAAAAATTATATTGCATCCATATTATAAATTGTTGTATAGATGCGTCATATGATGGTTATGTATTCGGAGAAATAGGATGAGCGTACGAGTATACGGAAAAAAGTATGCTCCCCTTGAGGAGGATACCGGAATATGAGGGAGTTTAGCCGGAATACGACCACGCATAGCCTTAATTTTGTCATTTCGCATAATGTAGATACATATATGTGCATACATGTGCTTGTGTACATGGTCTCGCCATGGCGTATGTGGCTACAAGTAAAAGTACAATTAAACAATAAAATGTCACTCATCCGTCTTGTAACCTTCCTGAGTGTGGTTTTGTTTCTTTACTTGATTTTATTTTATTATATTTTATTTCATTTCATTTTATTTAATTTAATTTAATTTGATTTAATTTGATTTAATTTAATTTAATTCAATTTAATTTAATTTTATATTATATTATTTTATTTTATTTTATTATATTTTATTTTATTTCATGTTATTTTATTTTATGTTATTTNATTTTATTTTAGTTTATTTTATTTTATTTTATTTTTTTTTATTTTGTTTTATTTTATGTTATTTAATTTAATTTAATTTAATTTTATTTTATTTTATTTAATTTTATTTTATTTTGGCTTATTTTATTTTAATTTAGTTTATTTCATTTAATTTAATTTTGTCTTTCTTTATTCTATTTAATATTATTTTATTTTATTTTGGTTCATTTTATTATATTTATTTCAAATTATTTTGATTTAATTTAATATTTTCAATCTGATTTCTTTTTTTATTTCACATCTATATTTAAAAAAGTCCCTGCGTTTTTAGCAATCGCTCTCTCATATCATCCGCTCTTGTTATGCTCACGCTCTCGTTACTCACATTCCTGACCTAACCAACGTCGCATTTAGTCCGCAAATTACGTCGCAATTTCACATCGAAGAAAAGCCGAAAGCCTCCTTCGTTTCCTGTTCCAATATGTTTGGCTTTGTACAGGCTTTTTAAAATCGACTGTTGTCCTTGCTACGCATTCAGTTTGTAAGCAACCTTTCCACTGTTAAGTGCAGTTAGCGGTGCGCTCTGAAATAGTTAGCTATATATAGAAATCACGAAAGGACAAATATATATATGCAAATATTTCGAAATAAAAAATTCATTCATACAAGCAAACTTTGACTGCACTTGTTGTTGTAGTTGCATCCGCAACAACAACAGCCATAACAACAACAACAAGAGCAACTGTTAAAATTTAAGCAGAGCAGCAACAGTCATACATTTGGTCAAAGCAACTTTCCCACAACCCACCAACCTTAGCAACCTTCAGGCTGCTTCGGTTGCATTAGCATCGTGCTGCAAGAGCAACAGTAGCTGAGCACTAGCAGCTGCAGCGGCGTATATCGCAATTTGTTCTCAGTTGATGTTGGTCGCTTGTATGGCGCAGTTAGTGGTTTGCTGTTTACTCTTCTTCATCACTCTGCGAGTGTTGGAAAAGTGAAAAGTGCGAATTCTTTTTGTTTTTGCCATCTAAATGGGCCAAGCATATATGTATGTGTGTGTATTTGAGGCGCTAGCGCTCTAATTTATTTGGTTTTCTCTGCTTGAGTGCGTGCGTAAGTAGGTAAGTATCACTTGAATTTGCAATTAAAATTTTATTTTTCCGAAAAAATAAAGGAAAGAAGTAAAAATAAACGAGAATCAGTGCATATTGAGTTCGGGGTGTGTAATTGTTTTTTTTTTATATGTTTTTGAGATCCAGTTGCACCTGAGCCGCCGCAAATATATGCATGAATGTGTAATGCGGCAATGAAGTTCATATTCCTGTAAATATATTAGTAATTAAAAATAAAGCTATAAAAAGTGTTTATTGTTTATTTTTTTTTTTTTGCAAAAGAAAAAATAATAATTATACAAATTTTCGTTGAGTGCAAAGAATAGTATGATTAGGCATATTTTTTGCTTTATTAAATTTTGTCTTTTACTTTAAGTATACATACATACGTACCTGTGCCTATGTATTTATGTTTATTATTTTCATTTATTTATTTATTTCATTATAATTAATTTTGTTTTATATAATTAAAAACAATATTTGGTTAAAGTTATTTCTTTTTTATTTTAGTGTTATTTAAATTTATTTATTTCTATTTATTTTATTTTCTTGCAGGTTATATTATTTTGCTTTGCTTCATTTATTTTAGTTTTATTTTGTTTCTATTATTATGTTTTACTTTATATTTTTTTTATGTAACTATGCTATTGAAGTTTTTTCTTTTTTAATTTAATTTAATTTTTATTTTATTTTATTTTAAAATATATTGTTTTATTTTATTTCAAATTGTTTTGCCCTATACTTTATTTTATTTTATTTTATACTTAATTTTATTTATATATTTTTCTGTATTTTATTTTTTGCAAATTAATTTTTTTAATCTCTAATCTATTAAATTTTACTACTTCATTTCTTAATGTTCATTATTTATGCTATTTCATTCCTTTTATTTTTGTTCTATTATTTTTATTTGATTTATTTTTTATTTTCTTTTAACTAGTTTTTTTAATATAATATTTTTTCTACATATTTTAATTTGACGTTAGTTTATGTCATTTAGTTTAAATTACTTTTATTTAATTTTTTATTTATTTATTTTTTTTTGGTTTTATTTTATTTTATTTTATATTTGATTATTTGATTATTTAAATTCATTTTATGTTATGTAGTTTTATTTAACACTATTCATTTTAATTTCTTTCATTTCTTACCTTCATCTCGTTTTATTTGATTTTATTTGCTTTTATGTTATTTTATTTCACTCTATTTTACTTAAATTTATTTGATATTATTTTACTTATTTTTATTTTAATTTGTTTTAATTTTATTTTGCTAGTTTAATAATTTTATTTTCTGTTATTGAATTTAGTTTAATTAATTTTTTTTATTTCGTTTTAATTTATTTTCTTCTATTTCGTTTTATTTTATTCTACTTTATTTTATTAAGTTGGGTTCTTTTATTGTTTCTTTTATCATGTGTCATTATGTTTTATATTATTTATATAATCTTCTTTATTTGTAATTGGTTTTTTGGTACTTTTTCACTTTGTGATAATTTTTTCATGGAATTTATTTATTTTTTATTTATTTAATCTTTAATCTATTTTATTTTATCACTTAACTTTTTAATATTAATTTTATTTTAAATTAATTGATGTATAATATTAATATTAATATTTTATAATTTGTTTATAGAATTCAGTTTGTTTTTTAATTTTTTTTTAACTTTAATCTAACTTATTTTACTACTTTTCATTTCAATTTTACTTATTTATTTTTTATTTTTTTCTACTATCTTGGTTTGGGTTATATATTTTATATTTTAACTTATCTATTTATGTTTTGTCTCGTTATTATATTATTTTTATTTTAGAATTTCTGCTGTATTTTAATTTATTTAGTTTAATTCGTTTACGTTTTTTTTTATTTAATTTATTTCTGTATAATATGCTTTATTGTGTTCTATTTTATTTTCTATTTATGTTGTTATATTTTTTTAATTAAATTTAAGTTTATTACGTATTTGAAATACTAGTTCATTTCACATAACGAAAAAATTTTTGCTACAAATTTTGAAAAATTAATACATAATAACCTCCCCTTTGGCTCGTGATATTTACAATATATGCACCACTTAATTTGAATACCGTATGTCATGTAAACACTTTATAAACATAATATACAAATTTGTTTGGACCTAGCCATCCGCACTACTTAAGCTTCCCGTCGTTTACCTGGTCTTAGGTGGCTTGTTTATTTGTATTAATACTTCCACTTGTCGTCTAGTGCAATTCCCATTTTCGTTTTTCTATATTTTTTTAAATTTTTTGTAGTTTGTATATTATAATAAATGTTTCCTGCCAACTACAAAGCTACAAAACAAATGTCGGATTATTTTTTTGCATTTCTTCACTTCGTTCAAGGTTTTCTTTTTCTTTATCATAGGCAAGTGACAAATGTATTCAGACAAATAAGTACACTTGTGATGCACTCAAAGTAAAAATAGTCCTGCACATACATACAGTCTATATTTGTATAAAATTATACACATTGGCACTGCACTATAAGTGTATATAAATTTGTCTACTCAAAAGTTTTCATATTTTATCTTTGATCTTTCAACGTTTGCCAAAAACTGAATTGTCAGATGCATTAAATTTACTCGCCAAAAATATCGTAAACAAGTACTTAAAATGCTTTTGCATAAGGCTAATTAAAAATATTACTCAAACACGTACAGCTGTGGAAAATATTGTAGTTTTGTTAATAGGAAAAATGCTCATAAATAGATGAAATGCTGGTTCGTGATTTAAAAGCGATATTTTTTTTACTTTGTACTCAATTTTAGTTTATATATTGGCGCTTTGTAATCGCGCCGACGGATTTGTACAGTTGGCAAAATGAAAAAAAAAATAATAAAATAAAATTCGGTTATCATATATATAATAACTACACACATATATATTTTAGGCAGTTATTTATTATTGGATGAGTGCATAAGTTCGTGCCCGATTTCAAGTGCAAACTAAAATTGAAATTTTTTGAAGAAAGCGCTTTTATTAATCAATTATGTATTCGCCATCATGTTCGGCAATCCACTCCCAACGTTCAACCAATTTACGGAGGCCTGATTCATAGAAATCGCGCGGTTTCTCGTTGAAAAAGGTGTCAAGGTGGTTTTTGACGTCTTCCACATTTTTAAACTTCTTTCCATTCAAATTGTTCTGCAGCGATCGAAACGAATGATAATCAGAAGGTGCAATGTCGGGTGAATATGGGGGATGCGGCATGATTTCCCAATTCATTACCTTCAGTTTGGCCAGGGTCAGTTTTGCAACATGTGGCCTGGCGTTGTCATAATGGAAAAGAACTCCTTTGCGATTGGCCAAAATCGGACGTTTTTCATCAACCACTGCGAGGTTGATCTTCGAGTTTAAAATCTCCAGAAGGAAATTTCGCGAACCATTTCTTTACTGTGCGGAGTGCTGGTCCAAATAAACTTCGCGAATATCTTTAGTTGCAGCGCCTACTGTTTTTCCTTTGCCGAATTCGTATAACATAATATGACGCATATGATCTTTTTCATTGTCCATCTTCCATGCGTCTTTTCACTAAGCAACTCAAATCAAAATGAAGTTATTTTATGCTTGGTTTACAGTTCGGACTGGCACCTTTCCAACGATATATAATATGTATATATTTCTTTCACGAGCACCACTCTCAAACGATTCGAACGGCATCCAGCGGAATCGGGCACGAACTTATGCACTCATCCAATATACGTATATGTAGCAGGAAGTGAGATCCACCATGTCGTATGAGCAACTACATTTCATTTATTTTTTGTTACATTCAATTAATTTTTTTTTAAGTTGGTTAATGTATTTAATTCTTTTTATTTAATAAAGCATTGTTTTATTTAATATTATTTTATTTTTATGAATAATCTTGTTTTGTGTATATCATTTAATATTATAATTTTAATTTTTTATGTTATTTAATTTGCTAATTTTTTTTTTAATATAATTTCTGTTGATATTACAAATATATTAAATATAACATGACATACGATCTAATAAATAACTTAATATATATTTTTTTGTTTGATGTTATTTGATTGATTTAAATTAATTTAAACATATTTATTTTTTTGCTTTTAATTAAAATTCATTGAATTTTACCTTATTTTGTACTATTTATTCTATAATATTAAATTTATCAGTATTTACTTATTTTTAATTTCTTTCTTTTATTGTAAATTAATTTTATGTTTGTATTGTATTTCTTAATTTATTTTTTTATTATTTTGTATTGTTTTTTTTTTTTAATTGCTCGGTTTTATTATTTTTTTATTTTCCCTTATTTTGTTGTATTATCTTATGTTAGGTTTGATTTTATCTAATTCACTTGTTTTTTTTTTCCTTTGCTAATTTTTTTTTTTTATTTTTTTTTTTTTTTTTTTTTTTTTTTTTTTTTAATGTTTACTGTTTTGTTTTGAGTTTTAGGCTATGATATTTTTAATTACTTTTTTTTTTGTTTTATTTGATCAACAAAAATAAATAAGTTGATTGTTATTTTATTTGGCATTATTTTATTTATTTTTTAGCTTTTTCACCTTATTTCATTTAATTTTTTTTTGTTTTTTTATATTCCATTTTATTTAAGTTAATTTTTTTCAGTTTTCTCTTTTTTGTTGGAATTTTAAGCCATGTGATTTTAAAATTATTTTACTTTTTTTATTATTATTTAATATTATTTTGTTCTTTAATATTTTATTTCAGTTTTTGTAATTTTTTCTTGTTTCGTTTTACTTTATTTTATTTACTTATGTATTTCCTTTTATTTATTTTGTTTTTTTCCAATTTTTAACGATATTTTATAATTTTTTTTTTTTGTTTATTAGGCCGCTTTTTGTTTATAATTTTTTATTTGCGAAAATATATTGCAGATCTATTCATTTTTATAAATTCCATTTTTTTGCATTTTATTTTGTTTTGTTTTAATTTTTTATCTCTTTTTTATTTTATTTTATATTATTCTGTTATATAATTGTTGTAGCCGTTTTAGTT